ATTAAATTTTATTTGCCCTTAAGGTATTCGCCGAAAATAACATTGGTATTAGAAGGAAAACAACAAAAACGTTAAGTTTAATACAAGCATATGTAACTAATGCAGTAAGAAGGTGTGCCTAATATATACATATACACATACATATAAGTAACTTCAGCAACGCTAAAGTTTCTATGGGAAAAATGGTAATTAATATGCTTGCAGTGAGGTGAAATATTTTCAAGGCAGAGCGATGCTTCTTGGCAAACGCTATATGGGAGTATTTGCCATATATAGGCAAATCTATTTCATGCCTTCAAAAGTACAGGAAAATTTATTTTGAAATGTGTTAAACTTCAGTGTCAAAAAAAAAAATTTTTTTGTTTTAGTTCAAAGTCAGGAATTTATAAAAATTGGCCGATAAATTGAAATTGTGGGAAACCTACTACAAAATGTTTAACGTAAAGATTATTGTGCACTGAATTATAAAAATTTAAAGAAATTTGAAAAGACTTGATCGGTTACAGATATTATAAGGCCTCGTCGTTCGGCTATATCGCTTCTTTCGTTTCACTTCAAATATAGCCACGGTAATTAAAGGGGTGTCCACAGATCCGAATATGCCCATTCCTCGACGTTCTGAATAACTACTACTTTCTTACGGCATTACATTATGGTGTATTTTGAACTTGGACGTACACCTAAATCCATATAAACTCGAGCTAACACAACAACCTAAGCCAGCTGACCATCGACCGGAAGGTATATTTCTCACTCGTGGGAAACGTAAATAAGCAAAAAGCAAATTGTCACTTTTAAGTCTTCAAGAACCCTCACATGATTGAAAATACGTCAACACACTTAAAAAAAAACCAAACCTACTATAGGGTGGGTTCCTTAGTCCGGAGGAGTGATTGAACCTTATTTCTTTGAAACCGACTACGGCGAGACTTGGAAAAAATGCCACACAACACGAGCGGATATGGCTTTATTGTGAGAGGAATTTCCCTGTCGTACAAACTCTCGCCTAGGCAATGACAATTGGCCACCGAGATTGTGCGATTAACGATGTGTGTGCAGATAGACTTGCAATTCTTGAACACTTGAAAACCAACATAAATCAAGTTGTGACTGGAAGACAGCCAGCTAAAATTTTGCCACAAACTTCGAAAAAAATGGAATTTTACTATTTTCGGTATTTTTTTTTTTAGTTCATATAGGAGGGACACTCATAAAAATTAAAAAAATTTGGTTCGACTGTTTCGGAAGCAGTGCACCCCCTCCATATCACGAGTTCAGAGTGTAGCCGCTTCGGAAAACTCATCGCAACATTGGAAAATTTAAACGTTTTTCTAAGCTAAAATTTGGTTTTTGAAGCTTAAATATGGTACATTATTGTCTGAAAATTATGTATTCCGAAATAATTTATGTCCTTTTCAAAAAAATGGTTTAAAAATGTTTTTTTTTCGGGTTCTGAAGGATGCTACTGCATGAAAGGATTTGAAAACGGCATTCCGTTGACCTATTCTACAACTAATCTCTCTTTACAACTACATAAAAGACTTAATAGCCTCTTTGTTGACAATTTGCATTTCTCTGTTTTATCTTAAATAACATTTTTTTTAAACATTTTTTAAACATGCTAAAGGGGCATAAAGGAGGTGATAAATATAATTTTAATTCCTATCACTTACTTAATAATTAGATTGTTTATTACCCAAAATGAGTAGGTGCTAAAGGAACTACGGCACTTAAAGTATTTTCTTATTGTTTTCACTCCATGAAGTTCACACTTTGCACAAACACACTCACTGACTAGGTGCGGCGTTTCGAGAGAACACAAAAGCTTGCTTCTGGGAAAATAATGTCGAATTCACTACCTCACTTTCATTCAATTGTGGTCGATTTTTTTTTATTTGCAACGGTACACAATTCAAGGTCATTGCTGTTGCTTGTGTAGTGTTCAACGCTTTTTGTTTAATTTTCACTCACTCAGTGCCAAAAACACTCCAACTTAGTAATCTTAAATTCAGTTGCTCTAGGTAGATGTATATTTGTATGAATTTTTGTATGTGAAAATTTCTGTGCTTTTACAAATTTTATGAATTTCGCGTAAGCAAGCCATTGAATAGCCATCAATTTCATTTATTCTCCACTTTTCGCACTAGAAAATGTGCCAATTGAAATATCCTTCTATAGTACACTGTGATCTCACTAAGAGCAAAATTTTTTTTTTGGATTTTAACGCCAAAGCATTCAACTCTACTATGAATTTATCGCACTTTGCTTCAATTGAGTTCAATTTATTCGCGGCAATGCGTTCTTGGTAGTGAAGCGAAAATTTGGAATACAAAATTAGAAACGAGTTGCGCTAAAGCATTTGCAGAGCACGAATAGTTTATAATCAGCTCTAGTTATCATTTGATGGTGTTTCGTATTTAGTTGAAGCCTTAGTGGGTGGAAGCCTACTCAGTAGCGCCTAGACGGTTTATTGAAACGCATTATGTGTTAGAGTGAAAACAGACGAACTGATTAAGGATCTTATTGGACGTTGGCAGTGTAGCTTCTAACCTAAGATTATTTATCGTGCGACTCCTTTATTAGCTGTATAGCTAAATAGAGAAGTCGCATTTGTGATTCGGCTGTCACACACACAGTTAACAATAATTGGCTTGCATGTCCTATATCCAACAATATTTGAAATTTTGTTGTGGCGTAACTTGGTGTCTCGATTTGGTGCTGAACAGGCAAAAGAAGGAACAAATGTTCTGCAATGAGGTAGGCAGAGCCTACGCAAAGGGGACACAAATTTAAATTTTTTTGGGTCTCTAAGTGGCGGAAGCATTGAAAAGTATAGCCTTTTAATTCCTTCATATGTAATAGAAGCGATGTAGCCTACTCTGAACACTGAGAGGATCGCTGGGCTTTTTCTTGATTCTCCTTTATCTTGTTGTAAGAGCCCTCAAGTTTTAATACCGTATGCTGTATGAAGCGGAGAATAGGCTTCATACGGTGACACAACCTCTTTCATACCAAGACCAGTAGTGTGCTATGAGGAATGGCATCCTTTCAGAGTTTACCCTCTTTTATCAACTTACCACTAAGGGTCTAGACCAGGGAAATGTCGATCGTATACCCCTAAATCTAAAGTCTCATGTGCTTTCGTGCTCATTGCATGGTTTTAAGTCAGGGGGCTGCATTCGAACGGATTCATCCGGATACCGTTCTACCTTCGGGAGAAACGGTGACTATGCGCAATTGTACCTCACGTTTTTGCCCACCGAAAGTTTTCCTCTCAGTAGGTGGCTGACAAACTAGTAGCAATTAAAAAAAAAAAAACATACCAATCGGAGACAACATCCCTCACCACTCCTCATATAGAAGTGACCAAAATCTTTGGAAAACTCCATGAGCGGCTTCAGAAGACAGAGGCTTTCGACTCCACCCACTCGACAGTCCAAATAGTTAAACAATTTTAGCGAATGGGTAGTGAATGAGTATATCCTTCCACCCAATTGGAATATGGTCTTGATGAGTATGTACAGGACGTATAAGGGCATACTCAAAAGATACTGCGACCCTGCATCGGTAATACAGTACGGTAGTGATGCGAGCTGGTTCAAAGGCCGTGTGAAAATCGTCTCTTGTGGGGTCGAAGAACTCTTTTCGAAAGAGTCGAAAGACTCTTTTAAAGAGGCTGTAGCGGAAGGTGGAGGGCACTGGTCCTGGGCAGATTCACAGGGACGAGATCATTAGTTTGCTAAAAGCTTGGACTTGGGTCCTCATTCATCTTGACTGCAGGTTAGTCCAAGTTGACGAAGTGAAGAATAATCAGAGTCTCATGCGCCAAGGGCGCTTCTACCAATACAGCATATGAAGAGAGTTTTGGACATTTTGTGACTGATCCAGGGTTATTCGAATCCACGGTTGAAAGCAAGTCGGTAACAGGTAAGTACCCAGAAGTCTTAAGTTGCTGCAAGGTATGTGAAACCACTCTCTCTATCAAAGTTAAATATCTCGGGCTATATTTAGATAACAAGCGCAACTGGCCCCAAAAACGGCAGAAAGGCTGAGCAAAGCTTTTACTTATTACTAAGCATTCCAAGCAGCCATTGGCAAGAGACCGACAGCGCGTGCTGTCGTCGTCATTGCGACTGTCACTTTCATACTCTAACAAACTACTAGCATTAAGCAAGCGGGAACTTAGTACCCTTATAGGTATAGCGACAAGATATCTATCCCTAATAAATAACCTTCAAAGAAAAAATGTAGGTGCAGTGCGTGCATAGAATAATGTGAAATCTTGGAGCACTACTAGCCAGCAAAGCACTTTCACGAAACCCCAAGCTCCAGCCTGTTGGAAGTGGAATGAGAGAAAGTTAGAAAATATATGTTGTAGTTGGGTTAGACCGGGAATCATAAAAACCCTATCAATGGCTTAAGTTCGCCATCAGTTCCTCAACTTCCCCCTTCAGCTAATTAACCAAACTATCAATTGGGCTTCGGCCATCTATGCCTTGACATATACCAAGTGGTTTCTCAGTTGCCTTATTTCATCTAACAGAAGATCATCTGGAAAAGAGGCAGTGAGATCCATTACGGGTAAATAGAAGCTTGACGGTTAGGTCAACCTAAAACTTCATGATTATTGCCATATATATATTACAAACATTACTGTCATTGAAGGTGTATCGTACTCGAGTTCATATATGCTTCCCATGCCCATTTCTGACAAAATCACTGCTGTTATAATAATGAAATTGAGATTTCATGGAAAATCTGGACACATATTCATTAAAAGTGTGATGTTTTAAGTAAAACGCAAATAAGTTTAAGGTTCGCGTAGATCAGAAAACGAATGAAGTTGAATTTAATACGCGTACAGAAAAAATTATGAATTCTGGCATACTGCAGCAAATGTGAAAATGGACCCGCAAAGGCGAAATTGTGTTTTCAACTGGCGAGGGAAACTTAATTGCATTGAGACTGGAGACACACTTCACATTTATATTTAAACTTACCCATAACATTGCACTGACGCTCCGGACTGCTCGTTTGAGTGCTGCCAGCAGCAGTTGGTAACGCTGTTGTCGAGCTAAAGCTGGAGCTGTTAGCTGCTGCAGACACTGTCGTTCCTCCTCGTTCTCCAGTTTTCTGTGAACTACTGCTTGGTTGCGTAATTAAATCCGCCTTTTGCTGTTGCTGTTGGGCTTGTTGTTGTTCATCCGCTGTAGTAAGCAATATATCGATATTTACCACACTGCCATTATATTCGCTGCTGTAGTCATTGTAGGAACTGCGAAAATAAACGTTTTCAATTTTGCTATTATTACTACTTCTGTTGCCACCGCCTGCACCACCAGTGCCGCGGTCACCACCGCCCGCTCCTCTTGGTGCGTTTGTGTTGTTTATTGTTTTTGCTGTGCTTGTTGCATTAATAGTTTGTGTCCCGGCGAGACCAAACAAATTTGTGCGACGTGCTGGGCTCGTCGTGTCCAATTCTGAAGAATTATTATTATTATTGTTTGCGTTCATTTCAGTGGACGTGAGCCAGCGATGGAAGGCATCATCCTGATCCTCCTCGCTGCTTTCGCGATTAAAAACATCCTGCTGTTGAAGTTCCGCTGTTTCTATTTTGTCCTGCAAAAAGCAAATGCACAGAATTGCTGAGTAAATGGCGAGAAAGATTTTCGTATTTGTTTTGAGTCGAAAGGAAAGTTTTGTTAAAACTTTTGCGCAAGTGGCAAGTCGATTGTCGACATTAAGTGCTTTCTGACCCCCAAGCTAGGCGAAAGGATTAGTCAGCGTACGTGCCTGCGTGCGTGGGTTAAGTTGTTCGGATGACAGAATTTGTTTGTCGCTTATTGGAAATTAAATCTTAATGTATTCAAATTGAAATCTAAATAAAATAAATAATATTAAAAATTTTGCCGAGATCCTAATCAGTTATTAAGAAGCAATTGCTTTGAATAGAAAGGGCGAATAAATATATAGAAAAATTATCATATGAATTATTCTCAAAAAAAAAAAAAAAAAAGTAAATTGGAAACTATGTGCATTTAAAAACTTAGATTCTTAGATCAGTTTTATTTTCTAATATTTTTATTATTTTATTTTACTTTACTTTGTTAATTTTATTTTATTTTATTTTACTTTGTTACTTTACTTTTTTATACTTTATATTTTGTTTTACTTTGTTTTATTTTTTATTGTTTAATTTAATTCGCTTTATTTTGTTGTACCTTTCATTTTAAATTATATAATTTTATTATTATTATTATTATTATTATTATTATTATTATTATTATTATTATTATTATTATTATTATTATTATTATTATTATTATTATTATTATTATTATTATTATTATTATTATTATTATTATTATTATTATTATTATTATTATTATTATTATTATTATTATTATTATTATTATTATTATTATTATTATTATTATTATTATTATTATTATTATTATTATTATTATTATTATTATTATTATTATTATTATTATTATTATTATTATTATTATTATTATTATTATTATTATTATTATTATTATTATTATTATTATTATTATTATTATTATTATTATTATTATTATTATTATTATTATTATTATTATTATTATTATTATTATTATTATTATTATTATTATTATTATTATTATTATTATTATTATTATTATTATTATTATTATTATTATTATTATTATTATTATTATTATTATTATTATTATTATTATTATTATTATTATTATTATTATTATTATTATTATTATTATTATTATTATTATTATTATTATTATTATTATTATTATTATTATTATTATTATTATTATTATTATTATTATTATTATTATTATTATTATTATTATTATTATTATTATTATTATTATTATTATTATTATTATTATTATTATTATTATTATTATTATTATTATTATTATTATTATTATTATTATTATTATTATTATTATTATTATTATTATTATTATTATTATTATTATTATTATTATTATTATTATTATTATTATTATTATTATTATTATTATTATTATTATCCTTATTATTATTATCATTATTATTATTATTATTATTATTATTATTATTATTATTATTATTATTATTATTATTATTATTATTACTTTATTTGTTTTTATTTTGTTTTATATTCTTTTTTAAATTATTTGATTTGACTTTATTTTAATTTACTTTATTTGATTTTAGCTGACTTAGGTTTTGGTTCATTTGAATTTCATTTTCTATTTTGTTATTTGATCTTGGTTTATTTTACTACACGAGTACATGTATAATTAATTTTAGTTTTTTAATAAAATTTCAAACGAAAATTACATATATGTATATTTTATTTTAGATTTTTTTAATACTGGGCACATGCTGGTAAGTTTCTAGTCATTTATTTTATTGTCAGCAGAAAAAGTTTTGCATAAAATAGCAGTCATTTAGATGTACATATATATATATATAGTTGGCGCTTTATAACCGCTGAAGCGATTTTCATATTAGGTTGTCAAATATCTCCCTTCCGCTTTTTTGTCTTTTGAATTTCGCGGCTATGTACAAAGCGCTACAGAGCTCGTATCTGGCAACACTATATATAATTTGAAAGACCTTGACATAACCTACAAAACAACGTTATGCATGATTAGTTTGGATATTGCGTTCAACAGTTATAGACGTGTAAACATGGAGTTCACTAACGCCGAAATTCGCGCTATTTTAAAGTTTTCCTTCGTTAAAGGCAAATCCGCTAGAGAAACGTTCCGTGAGATTAATGGTGTTTTGGGGGATGGTACTCTATAACTTCGAACCGCGGAGGAATGGTTCTGACGATTCAGAGCCGGTGAAAACGACACCATAGATAAGCCAGCCGGCGGAAGACCTGTGACGACAAATACCGATCAAATCATGGAATACATCGAGTTAAACCGGCATATGGCATCTCGTGACATCGCCCAGTAGATGGGAGTTAGTCACCAAATCATTTTGAACCATCTGCAGAAGGCTGGATACAAAAAGAAGTTTGATGTATGGGTGCCGCATAATTTGACGCAAAAAAACCTTCTGGACCGAGTCAACGGTGAATCGTCTCAAACAGTGGCCAAGCCGGGATTGACGGCCAGGAAGGTTTTGCTGTGTGTTTGGTGGGATTAGAAGGGAATCATCCACTATGAGCTGCTCCCATATGGCCAGACGCTTAGACGTGTGAAGTTGAACTCAAAAGAGGCTTGTGAAAAGTGGCTGTCCGAATTCTTCGCAAATAAGGAGAGGGCTTCTACGAGGAAGGTATTATGAAGTTGCCGTCTAGATGAAAACAGATCATCGAACAAAACGGCGAATATTTTAACTAAATCCGATCACTGTAACACTTTTTATAAAGCATTGAATGAAGAGCAAAAAAGCGAAAGGGGATATTTGACAACCTTATATTTGTGTCATGCTCTGCCCTGAATTTGTGGCATGAGTCTTAATATTATACCTGTAAATGAATGGATAGAAGCATTAAATTTTTACAAGTTTTGCTGTTGGTTAGGCCAGGGCTTGAACCTTGGCTATGCGCAATGCTAACCGTTCTGCTATTGCTGCGTCATCTATTTCTGTGACAAGTTTGATAAGTTTGTTAAACCTGTGGTCTGTTTAACTGGTTGAAAAGGATTTAAAAACTAGCATATCAAGTACGTCCAACAATTCTGGGAAACTAGCTTTTTCTATGCAGAAGTAAGGATTTTTAACTTGGAAATAGCCAATGAGTCGGCAATCTTCAGTTCTGGTTTACTGCGTGTTTTTAGTAATTAAAGTTCGCTAAGAAATTCCAGCAAGAAACCAGCAATTCCTTTTTTCAGTTTTTGTTTTATATTTGCTTTAGTCCTGTGATACAAACACATACGCATATCTGGTAGTCACGAGGAAACCAATTTTATTGCGCAACGTGTGACCAAATTAAATTTATTAGAGTGTCAATTGAGTTGCTGCAACAAATTGATAGAAATTGCCTGGCCTTTCATGTTCAAAGGTAAAATTACTATTTGATATACAAAGAATACAACTTTATACTGTGCGTGAGTGAGTCTTGCTTATGCGAGTTAGAATTGAAATATAAAAAATAACATAATAAAATATAGTGTGTTTGCTACTGGAAATAATTTATTGTATTATTGAATTTGTAGGCAATTTTCAAAAAGTGAACATTTTCAGTTTCGATTTATGAACCGGATAAGTTAGTGACAACAATAGAAAAGTACTTAAGATCGATTGACAACCAAGGTCACCTCTTGGGTGTTAGGAAAATTGACTGACCACGTTTTACCACAGTACTATAGTTTGCTTGACCAGTTTTTTTGCAGCTTAAATAAAAAGTAGTCAACATTTTTTGAAGTTTTTCCTCATTTTTTTTTTTTTTGGAAAAATGTTGAGTCAGTGACTCCTCCCTGTATTTTAGTTATTATTCTATTCTTGCTTCCAATTGCATATTTTGTTGTAATTATTTTTTTTGGATAAAAATAAGCGTAGAACACCCTTAAATTTATTACGATATTGAAATATGAAATATTTGAAGAGAAGTACATTCCAGCAAAGCGGTGGGACTATTGATGCTTGAGCTTATGTAATGTAATTATTTTAATATGTTAAATTTGAAAGTATAGATGTTGGCCATAAAAGGTGCTCTTGTACACCTTAGTGGACGGTGAGTGTATCAGAAGCCCGTCTTCGGAATTCAGCAGCGTATTCGTAACGTGTTGGCGGATAAAATGTATGCTCACTAAGCCGGTATTGAAATTAATCGAATTCAGATAATCTTGATGGAACGTCACATAAACACAAAACGCTATAGCATAGAGATAACATATACATTAAATACAAAAGGACTTTTTATCAAAGACCACTCAGTATTTGTTGAAGTATTAACAGATAAAAGTCAAAAAGTGGCTAGCGTTGCGTACTGACCTTTGGAAGGCTCGGGTTCATATCCCGGTGACAACAACATCCAAAAGTTATGAAAAATTAGTTTAAATAAAAAATATGTTAAATTTTCGGTCACCCTTTGGCAGATAATGTCCACCCCTCCGAGTGTATTTCGGACATGAAACCATTAGCCGTTCGGAGGCGGCCTATTATAAACTCTAGGTCTTTCCATTTGTTGGAAAAACATCAAGACGCAAAACCGCAAACTGGTGTGGAAACCGCTACAGCGGTTACAAAGCCCCAATTATATATAATCCTTTTCTCAAATGAACTCTCATATTTTTGCTGTGGCTCAGTTCTTCTTACTGAGGGCTCTCAGTGAGATCGCTCCTAACATCCTTTAACTTCGGTCACTCGCATTCCCTAAATTCATCAGAAATGTCTTACTTGTCCCACGTTTACCATCCCGATAAAATATATCTTCACACCACGCTTCGACTTGAACGTATTTTGATATAAATGTGTCTTTGTTCATTTGTTAGAGATTCTTTCGTACTTTACACCACCTCTTCTAGTAGTTCTACCCAATGGCATCTTAGGCCAGAAGGAATCCTTGTACCAACTTTTAGCTAAATGAAACTATAAGTATAAAGTGGTGGAGTAGACCGCAACCAAACCCTTTTCTCGGAAGAAATGTAGTTCGCAAAGGTAAT